GCGCCCTCAGGTGCAATGGGCCCCGTGGCTCTTTTGTTTTCAAGCAGACTGAGCCCTGTCCTGTGGCTATTCAGCCAGAAGCCCGCAGAGGTTATGTGAGTCTTCTTCCCCCGCTTGCAGTAAGGAAACCATGATGGAACAGGCCCCTTTCTCACCCTGTGTGCTGGCCAGCGCTGAGGGAGCCAGGACCAGCAGGGTCTCGGGCTCGGGCGTCTGGCTCAGGGCTGGCTCAGCTCCCCGCCCCGCGGGCTCCCTCCCCAAGCAGCCGTGCCAACAGCTCCAGGGTTGAAAAGGGGTGGGAGGTGTGGGCTTTCAGACACCAACTTCTGTACAGAGGTGAGCCAACCGCACGCAGCATTTGATCCTGTTTGGCCACCAAGGTCATCAGAAATAGGCCTTGGCTCAAATTTTCCACCGCAGGTAGGGCCCTGGCATCCCAAGGAGTATGAGAGGATCGGGCTTGGTACCCAAATAAGCACCCGGAAACAGTGCCTGCATGATGGAGTGAGTGCTCCTACATGCCCAAAGGAAAAGCACTGGGGAGTTCTAGCACAGGCAGGAGGGGACAAAAAGGCCATGTCCCCGACCTCCAGGAGCAGTTTCTTCACTCCTCTCAGCATCCTCCTTACCTCAGCACCCGGCACATAGTAGGTGCTCAGCAAATGTCTACTAAACAAACCCAGCTGGAAAGACAAGTTCCACACCAGTGCCTAGCGCCGAGCGCATTGTGCAGGCAATAAATCCACCCCAGAAATGTCCCCACCGGATAAATCCCCACCCACGGAGTCACGCAGTATGACTGCGGATTTTCTTTGACTTTCCCACATGCTTCCCTCTCCACGCCTCTCTCAGCTCCTTGATTCGGATTCACGCTACTAAGTGTGAGGCATAACCGGCTCATTGCTCTCTCCTGGCGTTGCTGCTCCCCTGGCTTCCCCGGCCCCGAGCACGTACTGCCGGGTCAGGAAGGACCAGAGCGGGCATTTTCCAAGGTGCGCCTTTTACTTGTCCAAAGTCCCACCACGTGTTCTCATTATTTTGTGCATCAAGAGCCACAAGACATCCACACAGTCAATCAAATAGGGGCACGGAGCAGCCTGAGCCATGAGAACACCCCGAGTTGTGCCACACGGGCTCCTGTTAACATGGGGGAGCCTTGCGCAGGTCGTGAGCGCCTCGGAGGGGTGCACGGCGAGGGCCCTGGTGCGTGCGCGAAGCCTTTGTGAGCACCTTCTGGCAAATCCCAGGTGTCCTTTATGTAAAATGAACACTCGCCACCTCCATTTGCCGAGATGGAGAGCGAAATTAAGTCATCGCATTCAGTAGGCGGCCACATGGAAAGGAGCTCCTGTGAACCACTGACAGTAAGTTCTTTGGGAAAGAAAACCTTGGGCTTCCTTTGTTGCACTTGGAACAATGGAAGGCGATGCTCACCGATGTCTTCTTCTGAGCTGTCGCGTTATTGAAATGAGCGCTTCCCTGACCTCATTTCCAGGGAGCATGCTCCGGGAGTTCCCAGGGGGTGTCCCAGCTGCCTTGATGGGCACCGTTCGGGCTTTTCAAAGCACAGATTTTGAGCAGGTTTAATTCTGGAGCCACTTGCCACAGTTCAGCGCAGAGAGCACACGTGCTCTCGGGACCCTTGGAGGAGAGCAGCGGGAAAGTTCTATGCTTCGCTACAAACAGACGAGCACTCCGCAAGTGACATTTGAAAGGCACTGAGGTTGAATAAGAGCGCTCAGAATAGACTTAGAAACACTTCGCTCCTCATTGCTCTTTCCGTATCTAATTATCCCAGCTGTTGTCATGTCAAAAAATGTTCCACGTGACATGCTGTTCCTTCAGTAAGAAAAAGTCCAAGTCAGGGATGAAGTCTAACTTTCCAAGGGAAATCGAGGCCTGAACAGGTTTGCATGAACATGGCGACGTTATTACCTCTGGCTTTTTTTTTATATACAAAAAATGTCTTTATTTGTTGCTGGCTCGCCCACTGCCGCTTCATTCCACTTTCTGCAGCGCCTAGGACACTTATTAACAGGTATCTGGGTGCAATCCACAGAGCGGACTCTGTGCCGATGTTCGGAGGGGAGACTGGTGTGGGAAGGCACATGGGCAGCCAGGAGAATCCTGAACACGCTCATCTGTCGTTTTGTAACTGTTCCACCTGCTGACTCTGCCCTCGGGACCAGGTTGCGGTCAGCCCTTGGGAGTTCCAAGGATCTCCTCAGAACTTCATGCTCAGCTTCCCTGTTGTGAGTTAAACTCCGCCACACCCTTGAGCCACCTTCATTTGTACCACAGGGCCTTTGCACCTGCTCCACTGCCGGCCTGCAGCGCTCCTCCTGGTCTGTGCATGGCTGGGCCATCTTGTCATTTCCTGGCACCCACCCACCCACGGCCACCACCATGTTTTCTTCTTGGCATTTATTACTATTTGTCATTTGTGTTTTCATTTGTCTGTGTGTTAAATCCCAGAATTCCTGATTCAA